TACGCTTTATGACGGAAAGACAGATCCATACATGTACGTAAGCCACTTCCGGCAAGTATGACTGGGCACAGGCGAAACGATGGGCTCATGTGCCTTATTTTTTCGTCGAGTTTGGACGAGTTAGGCTTGAAATGGTTCAAGACACGATTCAAGACCAAGACCAAAACACCCAAAGAAGTTGACCACCTTTTGGGAATCAAGATGGAAATAGGTGACTCTTTGAAGGCGTACAATGCCAAGTATTGGGAAACATTCAACGAAAGTTTTGATTGCCCGATGAACCTAACAATCACTCAGTACAAGCACAGTCTTCCAGTCGGACATAGACTTAGAGATTCGCTTATCATGAACCAATCGACGACCATGGAGTTGCTTATGCAACACATCACTGAACACATCTGAGTTGAGGATGACGTGGCCGGAACTATTGTGAAGGGAAATCCAATAGTGGCAGACAAAAGAGTTGCGAAAAAAGTTAATGTAGTCGGACAAGAGGATGGCCGTACAAACAACTGTGGAAGAAATCATGACTGCAGCGCTAATCGCAATAACTTGGATAAGGGTCGTAATAATGACTAGGCTAGCAACCCACGTGATGCGGAGGACGATGCGAAGTGAAAGTTAAAAGCTCGGACTGGCATTACTACGGTCTTCAAGATCCCGATCTATTGTATATTAAGTGAGATCCATGACGAGGAATACGTCTGGTGGCCAGCCAAGTTAAGGGATGCCTAGAGAGGGTTCAATTCAAGATACCGTTGCACCTTTCATGATGAGAGAGGGCACCAAGCAGAAGATTGCATGCCGCTCAAACTACACTTGGAAGAGTTGGTGGCTGCAGGGCATTTGGATCGCTACGTTGATGAAGGGGTTAGGGCTTCTTCTCCAGAGCAGACCTTGCTGAATGGCCTAGCAATCAAAGACATCCCCCCTCAAGGAGTGATCAATTAAAGAGATCTGGGGAGATCAGTTTTGGAAGACGGCGGTAAGAAGGCCGAGGAAAAGGGGCATAAAATTCGCAGGATATAAATGGCCGATCTATTCCCAGAACGTGGAACACTGTCAATCTGAAGTTTTATTCTTAGTTTTACATTTGTAACCCATTCTACTATTAATGTAATGAAAAAAGTAGATTGTTTTCTTGAAAATTGTTGTATTTTTGCCTCGCCAAGCAGATTTAGCGCGGTCCAAGGGGAAACTGACAATCATTTTGACGGAAAGATCAGAATTCCTTACCGGGCTGATTTTGCTCACCAAGATGAAAGTTGGTGTTTTGTTCAACTTTGGAATTCCTCGTCGAGTGAATTTTGCTCGGCAAGAGGTTTGTTGATGGTTTTGATCAACTTTAGAATTCCTTGCCAAGCTGATTTTACTCGCCAAGAAGTCTTACCAAGTTGATTTTGCTCACCGAGATGTAAGTTGCTGAGTTGATTTTGCTCGCTAACTTTAGATTTCCTTGTTGAACTAATTTTTCTTGCCAAGAAGTCTTGTCAAGTTGATTTTGCTTGCCAAGATATAAGTTGTTGAGCTGATTTTGCTGGCCAACTTTGAAATTCCTTGCTGGGCGAATTTTTCTCGACAAGAGATTTGTTGATGGTTTTAATCAACTTTAGACTTCCTTGTCAAACTGATTTTACTCCCCAAGAAACAAGTTGCCGAGCTGACCTTGCTCGCCAACTTTGGAGTTCCTTGCCGAGCTGATTTTGGTATCTAAGAAGCAAGTTGCCGAGCTGACTTTGCTCGCCAACTTTAAAGTTCCTTGCCGAGAAGCAAGTTGTCGAGCTGACCTTGCTCGTCAACTTCGAAGTTCCTTGCCAAGCTAATTTTGCTCGCCAAGGAAGTTACCAAGCCGATTTTGCTCGCCAAGAAGTAAATCGCCAAGCTAAGTTTATTTTGCTTACCAAGGAGTTACACTAATTTTGCTTGCCGAGAAGTAAATCGCCGAGCTAAACTGATTTTGCTTGCCAAGAAGTTGCCAAGCCGATTTTGCTCACCAACTTTTGGCGAAAAACTGATGATTTGTTCAATCAAAGAGAATTCTAACTAAGTAGTGGATACGGTCCAGGGGCAATCCATTTAGCCTGGGTCACTGCTTTGCCTTTGTAAGTTTAAGACAAGAGCCCAGTCTGGGGGGAAGTTGTAGGGTCGATCTCAATAACTTAATATTTGTCCACACAGCGAGGTCAACATCATGTATCGTTTTTTCGGACGACACCTGCATGCCGTTTGTAAGGTTGACGTCCAAGCCTCGTTTGCCCGATCGACGTGCAATCACTATTTACCAGGTCCAACTTGTTAAAAGTCAGTTTGCATGGTTCATTTGTATGGTCCGTTTGTAAGGTCGCAAGAGTCAAGCCTAGCAAAGTAGGTTTGCAAGGTCGCCACAGTTAAGCCAAGCAAAGGCGAGCGCATGATATCAAGTGTCAGGCTAGAGTGGTTCATGACCAAGCAATAACTTATAACTGAGATGGCAACGAAGCAAATCAAATTAATGCCAATCGAATTGTGAAACAAAAGTAGTCTCGACTGGCCAGGATGGTTTTCATGCAAGCCAAGATGATTGCGGGTCACGCCGAGCTCGGAAATGGTTTGGCTTTGCAAACAAACAACCAAGTTAATACGAAAACCTTGTGAACAAACACCCTTGGCGTAACCTAAATTCCATAACTCGGTCGACCAAGCTAGGGGTGAGAGTTTGGACCACCTTCTTCAACCAAGCACGAGTCTATTTATTCAGTAGCATTGAATGACCAAGTAACTACCCGCCCAAGCAGTAGACAACCTTGAACTCTATCAAGATCGAACAAAATGAAACTAAACGAGCAGTAACAAACAAAAATGGGCCTAGCAAAGTGAATGAGTTGGGACCCACTGAACTACTCCATGCATGCACTAAGAAATGACGCCATCAAAATGCCATGTGTCCACAAAGAGACGAGATGTCAGATTGGTTGGTGAGGGCACTACTCTGAAGACATGAACCAGGCTAGTGAATTAGCTCGGTAGGATAAGGTAATCCCAATCATGCTGAAGCGGATGGGATTAAGGGGCAATTGAGAGGGAGATTTGTGCCGAGTAAATTGGTCGAGTTAGTGTGAGCTTGGAGTAAATTACAAGGTTGCTCAACCGAGAGGGCATAACACGGTGTGGCTTAAGTCAAGGTTCCTGATCAGTTGGGCTGGCCCGAGATCTAGATGTAGGACTAGGTTGGTTGTTGGACTTAAATCATGAGTCGAGCTAGGCGAGGCTTGTGAACCGAGCTAGGTGCTCCTGGATCAAGCGGAGTTTGCCTTGATAAATTAATGGAACTTGAATGGACTGAATGTGACGAGCCGAGATGATTGAACGTTTAAGATCGACAATGATCAGCTCGGCTCAAGACTAGTTACGATTAGAGAGCTAGGTCAGACGAGGATATAGTTAGCTCGGCAAGAGCTACTACGTGGCCCAATGGATGGGCAAAGAGGGGAATCCACTGTTCGTGCGTGTCAATACCGTTTGGCTATTTTGTCAATGCTGTTTGGCTGTATTGTCGCGCACATACGTGGCGGACGAAGAGAGGGTAGTACATCCACGCGTCCAAGGAAGAACGAACAGAGTAGTGCGCGTAGAAACTATATAAACCGTGTAGTGCCTCCATGCAACAAGTTTGGAACCCTTATACATTGAGATTTTCTGGTTATCAGAGCTCTCTCTCTTTTATTTTCTCTCTCTCTAAAATTGTGCTAACTTGACTGTAAGAGGGGTATTCCGGCCACCGCCTGTCAAGTAGCTTACCGTCGTGTTCTCAAGTTATTCGGAGTGAAGCGAAACTTGGACATGAGAAGTATAGAAACCGACGAATATTTGCTGCCCGTATACAAAACTCTTCTCTTTGAATTCTTTGGGCATTACAAGATATATGGTCAATATTATATGTTTTTTTTCTTTGGGCATTACAAGATATATGATCAATATCATATGTTTTTGTTATAAAAGCTGAGGAAGGTATATATAAAGCAACATTAACTTTTTTTTCTTCATTAACTTCCATGTGAATTCTACAAATTTTGAAAAAATTCAGTTTGCTTTGAGTCCTCAGTTAACAAAACTGAAAAGTTTCATTTAGTGATAAATTTTCCATTAAAGCCTCATTTGGCAATTTCACTTTTTAGCTTAAAAATTAAAAATTTATTAAAAAAAATCAAAAAGTCAATAATCTATAATAAAAAGTCAAAAATTTATTTTTCTTCCTATTTTTTACACATCATTTAGTAAAAAAATCAAAAAATCACCCTAAACATACTAATTTTTTTATATCATATTTTAGTCAAAAAAAATCAAAAAATTACTAAAAGAGCTTGCTCCCAAACAAAGCCTAAATCCTTCTAAACAAAACTACTTACACCATTAGGTATACATCAATAATAATTAGTTGTTAACACAATCAAAGGATATCAATCTCTATTTCATAGGATTTATACATGCAATCTCACTGTACACAATGGTACTACATATATAATTAATAGACCAAACACCACGATTCCATCATTTTGATTTGAAGGAAGTAACTGTTTGCTGTTGAGAAAATTATTAAATAATCTGAAATACTGTGATCATATTTTCTCACTCATTACTCATTGTACCCTCTCATATTCCTTAATTACTCAATACAAAATCATAATACCCTCATTCTGCACCAATCACCAATCATATTATCATGGAGTACCATGTGACAATACTCCCGGACTACCATGGTGATTATTTAGTAGTCCGAGAATATGACCACATTGTGCTCCATAGTAGTATGATTGGTGAAGAAAGTGATGCTAATAATTTGTTTTGAATGATTAAAGAACATGAAGAAACATAATGCATAATTGGTGAGGAAGCATGACTACCTAATATCTCAAAGGTACCTAATGATTTTTCCATTTTAAGTGTATGTACATTAGGAGTATCTAAAAAATAAAAATTGCATAAAATATTTTTAAAAATTCACTAAAAAAAAATATGAAAAATAAGAAATTTAATTTTTTGAAAAATGAACTCAATTTTATCGAACCAAACATGGAGAATTGACTTAAAAAAATAAAAAATAAAAGCGTGCTCCCTAGGTGAACAATGACATTGCAACGGTTACAAGAAAACTAATTAAATACACAACAGCAGGTGCCCCTCTCCCTATGATTATTTTCACCATGACCATTCCAGACTTGCTAATAGCCAAAACTCAAAAATGCTGTTACCATGCTCGCCAAAGGAACCGATATGTTATCATCCACTACATCTGTAATTGGGAGCGACTCTACAATTGTTGCCACCAAAGAAACTAAAGCAACTCTTTCCACTGTCCAAACCCAATCCAACTGGAAGTATCCAAGGGCTGAAAAGTAGTAGAGCATCCTATCATATGAAAAAAAGTTGTGAGTCAATATCAAATTTCATATGGGGTAAGCTAATCTACCATCACGTGTTTGATTGCAAAACAAAGTTTCCAAAACTCACCCAATGGAGATCAAGAAACCAAATATAAACATTGAGATGCTACCAACCCAACTCTTCTTTTTGTTATATGGAATTTTCACGGACCCGAATCTTCTTCCCATGATATCAGCAATGCCTACAAATCCGACGTCAGAAGAGAGTCATTTCAAGTACTCAGAGACTACTGAGTTTGGATTTTAAAGCAGAGGTTTACCATCCCCTCCACACATCATTGCAAGTGAGATCACTCCAATTGGTGACTCGCGCCAGAATACAAGGACACACAAAATCAATATCAGAACGTAATATAAAGGACCTCTAAGCAACTCTCTGCAAGAAACAAATTCAACAAAATTACAGACGATTCACATGTGACGTAATAGAGAAGAAAGCCACACAAGAAAAAAAATTACGCTGATTAGAAACTTTACTCTGGATTTCCTTCTCGAGTAACGGATTTTATTAGTCCTTCATCAGTGGCAAGGGACAGGCCATAAGTGACAAGCCTTAAGCAATTTGCAAGAGGAACTAAAGAAGCAAAGTAGCGAGCCCCTGTTGAGGTGCTATTCTAGGATTGAAATGATCAGCCAAAGTTGTCAAGGGAAATCAATATTTCATGGCAGCAAAATGTTCAAGAAATTTGATTTTGTAAGCATCCATGAAGACAGATGATAGTAGATACCTGAATATTGGCCAACAAGCCATGAAAAGCAATCCAGACAATATATGGACCAGTTTTCTGCTTAAATTCTGCTGGCCGGGTGAAAAATGAAAAAAATCCTCATGAGAAAAACAATGCAGATTGAAACTAAATGATAAAATATTGCTTCCGTTTATAAACACCTTGAAAGTTTAGCTTCCAAAATGATTAGAAAGTCCTTGTTATGAATTCACAACAGAAAAGAAAAAAGGGCATCTGTATGCCAAAAATCATTACAAAATTACTAGTTTCCTCTATACAGAGTCATAAAGACAACATAGCCCTGCCATCATTCCCAGCCCCCCTTACTTAATACCTACAATTCTCTTTGGCTGTGTTTAGATAATGAATTTAGGTAGGAATTTAGAAAGAGAAAGGAATTTGTAGTAATTAATGATTAGGTCAAGGTTAAGTAGGTGTAAAAATTGAGTTTATTAACTTCTAAGTCACTTTTAATATCTAATCCAACAGTAACTCCATAAGCCAACCCTAATCCATTTTTACCTAAGAGTTATGATATAAGGTAAATTATAAATTTTATTCATGGGTAAGAAAATTTTAACGCTTACAAAGTAGACAAGGAATAATTAGTTTATTCACAATTTAATTTATTATATTGGGTGAACTCCTATGAAGCACCGGTACTCCTAAAATGTTGTCGTACAAGTACCGGGTACGTACTTGGTACGGGTACGCGTACCGGTACGGCTGCACGCGTACCGAGTACGGCCAAAAGGGGTCTGGTACGTCTGGTACATTTGGGTACAGCATGGGTGCGGAGGGGGTACGCCATGGGTACGTTCCGGGGCAAAAAATACTCAAAAACTACATGTATACATACATAGAGAGAGAGAGAGAGATAACCTCGTGCTTTTAGAACACATCCTTAGGCCTCGTTTGTGAACAGATTAATTTAGTAACTTTTTGGCTATTTGGCTAAAATATGAACTAAAAAAAATTAATATGTTTGGGATGATTTTTTGTATCTTTGACTTTATGGTATGAGTTGTTGGCTTTTTGACTTTTTGACGTTTTGACTAAAAAAGCCACTTGCCAAACGAGGCCTTAATGACATATGAATAATTTTTCTAATCTTAAGTGTAACTTTAAAAATGGTTAAAAATTAATTGTCTAAATTATTTTTCAATATATTTTAAACAAATTTTATGTTTATTGGCGTACCGCAACCGTACCCGTATCATACTTTTTTGAATTTTGACGTATCGACGTACCCGCACTCGTACCCATACCGTACTCGTACCCGTACCTGTGCTTCATAGGTGAACTCTATGATAGGATAAATTAAAATTATAAAACTCAAAGGATGCAATGCGTTTATATTTTATGGGAAATGTATTTTTTGTAATTTAACCTTTAATTTGTACTCATTAAACTATGACATGTATTTCTTATCAAGAATTTATTAGTTGATGTTCTAAGTTGGCCAAGACACCTGGATATCAAAAAAAAAAATTAGAACACACCCTTAATGACATATGAATAATTTTTCTAATCTTAAGTGTAACTTTAAAAATGGTTAAAAATTAATTGTCTAAATTATTTTTCAATATATTTTAAACAAATTTTATGTTATTATTTAATTTTAAAATTTAATTTTTGTACATTTTTTTATATCCGTGCATACTACGAGTATTATGGTAGTTATTATTATTGAAATAGTATTTATTGTATAAAAAATTCTTAAAAAACAAAGCATTCTTGGTATGATCCAACAGATTGATCCCATTCTATTTGGTCGGTTCAATTGACTTGGGTTAGCGCCAGCTTTAATTGGTCTCTGCTAGTATTTCTCACACTTTCGTACCTAATTTGTAAACCCTTATCCATTTTCCATCAAATCACTCATTTCATCAAATCACTCAATCCAAACAGACTGTAAGAATTTGAGCTGAACCTGAGGAATTCAAGATCTGTGCGCATTCGTGTGAATGTATATACTATCAGTAAATTATACAAATTCATATATGAGTTATACATATACGAATAAAGTGAGAAAGAGTGACCTGTTGGATGAGATCGCGCTGGGTGAGAGAATCGAAAGTCAAGACGAGAAAGTAAGCTCCCAACATTACGATCGCCGTAGCCCCGGCGTCATGCATTATTGCACCGCCGTCTCCGGCGGCAAGAGAGACGGCGGCGGGGCGGAATCTGGACGGCGCGCGGAGGCTTCTGAGGACAGCTGAGGACCACCACCGGAGGACACCATCGCCGCCACCAGTGGCCCAAACTCGCCTCCCTGTGAGGAGAGTAGTAGTGATAGGAGGAGGAGGAGGAGGAGGAGAGAGAAGATAGGGCTTGTGAGGGCGTACGTGGTGTCGAAGAAGAGAGATCGAGGACTGTTTAAAGGACACAGTAGTGGTGGCGGCGGCGGCTATCCACGCCGGGTTCATGATAGCAGCTGTTCCCATCTCTAGAAACCCCTCTTTCTCTCTTTAAAAACTCTCCCTCGGCTATGTCTGTTTTCGGGTAGTGAATCTATACAGCCACTGTTTTGCGCTTTTTTACTGCCACTTTTGTCGGACAACATTTTGATGATGGTTATTATTGGGACTTTCCGATATTAAGCTAAATTTCTATTTTAATTTCTAAATTAGACTTAGGTTAAATTTGATATTTTTTAAAAAATTTAAAAAGTCAAAAAGTTACTATTTTATTTAACTCACATCGCTTCTCTAACACATCACTTCAAACCCAACTCAAATCCAACCCATATTTCATAAAAAGTCAAAAAGTACACTTATTTAGTCTTCCCAAACTTAGCCTTAGTTTGGACGGATTTTTTAAATTAGGTTAAAGCGTTATTACAAATCGCGCTTTTATTGTTTGAAGCAGAAAATTTGATGAATAATGAAAGCGCTATTACAAAAAGTGTTTTTAATTAAGAAAACGCTATTACAAAAAGCGTTTTGCTATTACAAAAAGCGCTTTCACTGTGCATATTTCTCCCCTTCAGAAAAACGTTTAAAATATATTAAAATGTAATCAAAATTAATTTTGAGTTCTCTGCAGCTCAAATGGTAGTGCATTGATTTTGCCACACCTCTGCACAGGTTCAAACCACATGCACACCAACTCCAAACAATTGCTATCTAAAATGAAATTCAACTTTTTTTTTTCTTCCACTCACTCTATATTTTATATATTTATTATGTAATTTTTTTATCAAAAAAAAAAAAATTGTTTGGTTAAATATTTTAAAAAATTAAAAATTTATTTATTTAAAAAATTAAATAAACAATTTATTTATTTTTAAAGAATTATATAAAGTAGTATACTATTTATACTATCATCACATCACACGTATAAATAATGTACTCACTTAGACGTATTATACTATCATCACATCGCACGTATACTACTTTTTTTTTATTTTTAATAAATTGTTTATTTTTATTATTACCCATTACTTTTAAAATATGTTTATTTTTAAAATATATAGCGATCCCGGTTTTCCTGTTGTTGTTTAACTGTAATCCGGACTCGGTTCCGTAGATTCGTTGTTGTCTTATCCTCATTTTTATCCCCTTCTCTTTTAATTAGAGTTTTGGGTTGTGTTGGGCAAGTTGGGAATAAGTTGGTCGTGTTCTAAAACTTAGAAATTTTGCCCAGGTTTTGGTCTCTCCGCTCGAGTGGCGATTTGACGCTCGAGCGGGATTTTGTTGCTGCCTTTTCGCTTGAGCGGCAGTTTGGACGCTCGAGCGTGAATTTCCTTCTCTCAGCATTTTGGACATCTGCAGAAAATTCTGGGAGAGTGCATTTGGCGCTCGAGCGTGAACCTGTGTCTGACGCTCGAGCGGGGTGTTTTACGCTCGAGCGGACCTGTTTTTTATATCAGTCCGTGAAATCACTTTTTTGATCACTTTTTGATTTCCTTTCTCTCTCTTACTTTTTCAAAACCTCCATTGGAGAGCACCTCACTCTAAAACCCTAACTTCTCTCTTAGGATTGATCTAGTAGGAGTTGTTTTCTCACCTTGGGCCTTTACAAAAGTTGTGTTGATCGTAGAGGGCTATATTTTTTCTATAAATAAATAAAATACAATAACTAAACAATTTTTCTATAAAATACAATTTTTTTCAAAATGTCAACATAATTGTTTAAAAAGTATTCAGTGTATTTGATTTGAGTTTTTTGGATTTAGTTATTTGAAAACTGAGTTTTTTGATTTTCGTATTTTTTTGTTTTTAGTGAATATTTTTAAAATTTTAAACAATTTTTTTTTTACTTTTTTAGATGCACCTTAGTTAGATGTATCTAAAAAATAAAAAATTTGTGAAAAAATATTTTAAAAAATTAATATTACATAAAAATACAAAAAATGTACTGAAAAAATATTTTTGTATTTTTAGCATTTTTTCAACAAAATATTAATTTTTTTCAGAAAAATGTACTTAAAAATATATGCACAGTGAAAGCGTACTCAAAAAATATTTTTTCAGCAAAATGTGTGCTTTTAAAATGTACTAAAATATTTTAAAAGCGTACATTTTTCAATTTTTTAAAATATTTTAAAAATAAACATATTTTAAAAGTAATGGGTAATAATAAAAATAAACAATTTATTAAAAATATAAAAAGTAGTATACGTGCGATGTGATGATAGTATAATACGTCTAAGTGAGTATACTATTTATACGTGTGATGCGATGATAGTATAAATAATATACTACTTTATATAATTCTTTAAAAATAAATAAATGGTTTATTTAATTTTTTAAATAAATAAATTGTTTATTTTTAATTTTTTAAAATATTTAACCAAACAAAAATTTTTTTTTGGATAAAAAAATTACATAATAAATATATAAAATATAGAGTGAGTGGAAGGGAAAAAAAAAAAAGTTGAATTTCATTTTAGATAGCAATTGCTTGGAGTTGGTGTACATATGGTTTGAACCTGTGCAGAGGTGTGGCAAAACCAATGCACTACCATTTGAGCTGCAGAGAACTCAAGATTAAGTTTGATTACATTTTAATATATTTTAAACGTTTTCTGAAGGATATGCATAGTCAAAGCGCTTTTTGTAATAGCGTTTTTTCATATGCACAGTGAAAACGCTTTTTGTAATAGCGTTTTCTTAATTAAAAGCGCTTTTTGTAATAGTGCTTTCACTATTCATCAAATTTTCTGCTTCAAACAGTGAAAGCGCGATTTGTAATAGCGCTTTAGCCTAGTTTGAGAAATTCGTTCAAACTAGGCCTAGTTTGAGAATTAAGATAGAAATTTGGCTTAATATGGGAAAAGACTCGGTTATTATTAGCATCTATATATATATGTATATATATTTGGGTCTTTTATTTTTTTGAATTTTCATCTTCAATCTTAAATTTTAAATAGATTTTTTATTTTATTTAAAAATACTCTACTTAGGCCTCGTTTAGAAACATGCTATTTTAGTAACTTTTTGATTTTTTTAGCTAAAATATGAGGTAAAAAAATGAGTATGTTTGTGGTGATTTTTTAGCTTTTTACGAAAAGATATGCAAAAAGTAGAGAGAAAAGAGAATTTTTGACTTTTTGATATAGGTTATAGGCTTTTCGGCTTTTTTAGTAACTTTTTACCTTTTTTGGCTAAAATGTTAACTTGCCAAACGAGACCTTAGTATCAATTTTACTTATATTCATAATATCTTCACATTCAAGTAAATACACACTTAATTTTGTATATCACCTCTTCTTTTTTCTTCTCAATAAACGATAAACGATTAAGAGATGATTGAAAACAATAAACGATTGAGTAACAAATCGACTGTCCCTCTCTTTTCTTTCTCTCATAAACGAAGGTCTCTTTCTGCTTGTCACCGTGAACAATGGTATTATCGTATACTCGGGGGTACCTAAGCGAGATAAATAGTTCGGGCCCTTGATTTCTTTAATCTAGTTTCACGAGTGCAGTGTGAAATACAGATGAGAGTCTAAATCCCGCAACTTTTATAGAAAATCCATTTTAGTGCAAAATCGTTGTCAGAAATGGACTGCATCATTAGATCTTAGAGTCGCCACCTAATATTTTGGAAAAATTAAGAAACATGTGACTCGTGCTAATGCCATTGTTCGTCATGACCAAAGATGTCTCAATTCAGAACCTAAGGTATAAGGGATGACGGTCATTAATTGAGCACTCCCGCTCACTCGATCAAAAGATCGACCTCTACTAAATCATGATATGAGTTTTATTAACTTTATATATTAATATTCCGATTATTAATAATGCTAAAATTTATTGTGTGAAACAATCAAGTATAGACAATGTCACTTATTTTGGAATGTTATGATCTCATGCATTAAGGATTTTTGAAAATGTGCAACTCAAAAGAAATCGAGCTCACAAGCATGAAATCAATATTATTCCAAATTAAGCGACACAACCTCCATCCACCAACAATCATAGAGTTATATCAATTAAGCAAGTAGCTGCATGGTAAGATGTTAGACATAATAAAAAAAAACATACACAGGTGAGGTGCTAAAGCATAAACACTTACATAGTATTTACTGACGTCTCGCGAGGAAGTTGCACAAACAAAGTTAGAAATATATGCATAATCCTAGATGCAAAATTCTAATGTAATATATACATATACAAAAATGTAACTAAAAATTCGGCTGCTAATACATAACATGTGAATCATTTCAAGACAAGGGGTAGCGTACAAAATCACATAGAAATTGATTAAACCTATAGATGCAAATGAGCCGAATTTTAATGCATGAAATGTGAGTGCAAAACATAGATATGGAGAAAAATAAAACATGATGCTTATTTATAGATATGAAAAACAAATAAATGAAAAAGGATAGAAGGAAGAGGGGGTGAGGATTATTATAACAATTCTGGTTTAAACTCGACCCTTTTATTGCTGTTGGATGCAAGAATTGTGTATTTACCTGTTGTTTATATCTTTTCCACCCTAATACTTGTTAAGTTTGGCTATTGGGAGTTTTGGTTGTATTTAAAACAGGTTACAAAGTTAGGTTTTTTCAATAAGTTGTTGCCCAAATTCTTGCCTATTTGCTCGAGCGATGCTTCTTGCATTGGAACGGCCTTTTACAGTGTGCAAAACTACTGAGAGTTTGATATCTTCGTTTGAGCCAAATTTCTTGCGCTTGAGCGATCTTTTGCAGATCTGAACTACTAGGAGAAGGTCATTGTGTGCTCAAGCGGTGATTTTGATTGCTCGAGCGGGCTGTGCATATATCAGTCCGAGAGACGACATTTTTTTTAATCACTTTTTCATCTCTTACTCTCTCTAAACATTTCAAAACGCTAGATCTACTCTCTCTCTCTCTCCCTCTCTAGTTCTTGATCTTTAGTCCCAAATACTCTCAAACCGAGAGTTTTCTCACCCTAGTCCTTTGGAGAAAAACGTTGAGCACGCAGAAGGCTTCGTTTTGATCGGAGCATTTAGTGTTTTTGACATCGACAAGTTCTACCCATCTTTCCTTCATGTCTTCTTCTTTGAGGTAGAGATTCTTTTGACTCTTTATATGATTTTCAACATAGTTATTTGCTTTTTGAAAATGAGTTAGTTATTTGGGTATTTTTGGTAAAACCTAGTGTTTGGTTTGAAATCAAAAGAGGGGTTTTCCAAATTGGTTCTTGAAAATGGTTGTGGGAAGATGGTTATGGATGATTTGGGTTGAGATGATGGAAATCTTTCTTAAAATTGATTTTGTGAGAAAATGGGATTTTGCCCTAATTTTGAATAATTGGAAATTGTGAAGAAAAATGGGAAAATGTTGTGAGATATTGTGAAATTGGAACAAGGTTTATGATGAAAATGAGGGTGGAGTTGTATATGTACTATCACTTCCATTGCAATTGATGACAATGCATATTTTGAATTGAATTTATCTATGGAATAAAAATATCTGTTTAGGGCTATCGGTGGAGGATAGTTTTAATTGTTGTAGACGTTGCATGAGAATTAAGTTTAATTGAAAAAAATTTCTCATCCATTGTGCATTGAGCATCATTATATATTGAACATTGTAAATGTATCGGTTTTGAGAAAAAGAGGTGAATACCTTGGTGAATTTGGTTAGCAGGTGTGTTTGTGGTTATAATGTTGGCCTGTATGTCCTTGGTGAAAGTCTAGAAATCCGCACGGTTAGGTGCTGATTCTTAGTACCCGTAAAATGGCTTGGGTAGTGCTTGTATAGCCTACTGGCAGACACGTACGTAGAGATTCCCAGTGTTTTATATCCACCGCCCTGTTTTTTTGTATAAAAGGATTATTTCATGAATTGATTTATAATTTGGCATTGTATTGGTTTGAGATGGAAAACGAGTAATGTTTGAGAAAGGGCATGTATGTGCATTCACCTTATGATTTTGCTAAGATTTATATATTGTGTTAGAGTATTTCTACTGGACTTTGGCTTACTCTATGTGGAATTTTTTTTTTCAAGTACTGATGATATGCCTCCGCCAAGGACATAGTTTGGGAGGACTTGGAACTTAAGGGTTCACTTTTTGTTTTTTGTTGTAAATATTTTTATTCAAACCTTGAGCTTTACTTGTGTTGAGTTTAAACTCATTTTGTTGTAAGCCATTAGGACATTTTTTTTATTTGATTTTAATTTCTCTTTTACTCTTGTATCCATGCCATATGCTATAGATTCCGAATCTAGGATTTGTGAATATATATTGCATGTCATCTTTTGTAATAATCAAAGATAAAATGAATAGAAGTTATGAGATTGTTGATCAATTGTAGCATTATTAATAGATGGGTTATTGTTAATTATATCGGGGTGAGACAACTTGGTATCAAAGCTACCAAGTTTGAATACTTTGGGATCGCGAGAAGTGGTTATTACCACAATGGGTTCTTTTGCTAGAAGATATTAGAAATACACCTAGTATGCGATGTGATAACATGCTTATATGACAAAAAGAGTATACAATTTAATTTCTTAGATATTAAATAATTAGGTCTACGAGTTTCTAAAAGTCCTGTTAAAAGAGCACTTGATCACTGCTATTTCTAATTGTAACTCTGGCAATGTCATGAGTCGGTCATTATCTAGAAAGGAAGTTCGTTTGTGTTTATGTGATTAGGTGCTTATGTGGAGTGAATTAATTGTTATCCACCGCTTTAGGACATAAATGAATTATCTTTGGCACATTTGTAAATGTGCTAATCTATCGTGTTATCTTTATTAGGATGTTAGGACATGGACATGCTGGTGGTAGGCATGGTAGGCCTAGGCGGCAGGAGGTGTCGTTACCGGATGATACTCCGGCGTAAGAAGAAGGAGTTAGTCAGGCCAACGTGGTCGAGCCAGCAGGTCAGCAAGCCATAGGCGCTTTGGCTTGGAAAATGGATGGTTCTTTTAGGGAATCCATGGACATTCTCATGGCTGAGAATCAAGTCCAGACCCATGTTGCTAAGATAGGGCCATCTTTTCTAAAGTGGGAGTTCTTCCGGTTGGATCGAATTTGGATGAGTTTTTGGGGGATACTAAGAAACCACTGAAGGCAGATGAGTGGCTAGAGCAGATGGTGAAGACGTTTGAGATGCTTGGCATCGAGGATGATGGTTTCAGAGTGACCTTGGCATCCTTCCAGTTGAATGGAAATGCAGGTCAATGGTGAAAGTATGCACGTGGGCGCATTGGGATGACTTGGGAGGCTTTCATCAACGCCTTCCAGGACAAGTTCTTACCTCCCACTGCTAGGGATAAGTAGAGCGACCAGTTCTTAACGCTTAAGCAACTGAACACACTTGTAGCAAAGTTTGAGGTAGCTTTTACTAGCCTATCTAGGTTTGCACTGGAGCTTATGGTGACGGAGGAATGCCCAAAATTGCACGAAGATGCTGAGGACCGAACTCCTATTCAAGGCCGGGTCTATGATTAGGGATTACTGTCATCTTGTAGAGTTGGCGGCTCATTTAGAGACCGTGATTCAGACTGAGAAAGAAAGGATGAGGAGCTCTATGCAGAGAAGTCAGGAGGTTCAAGGAGAGATGAGGGATAGCAAGCGGCAGAGGAGTTCTACCCCACAACAATCCCAGGCAACACAGTTTAGATCTACCTTTCCTGTATTGAGTTCTGGTTTAAGGAGAGGAAGTTAGGATGGGATCACTTGCTTAAGTGTGGCTAGTTGGGCCACAAGTCTCCAGTTTGCTCGCAGAGAGGATGAGGGCAATAATCTGCACCGCTTGCAGATCGTTCTTAGAGCCAGAGTCAAGAGAGAGGGAAAACCGCCTACCTGTTATTAGTATGGGTAGTCGGGCATTTGAGGCGATTTTTTCCTCAGACAGATGGCACATTTGGTGTGTCTGGTTCGAGGCAGACACAAAGCCATTAGCCTACCCAGTCAGTACAGGCCTCGAAGGCCACTCAGGGAGCCTCTTTGGCTCAGTCAACTTATTAGTCTTATGCTTTGAGGGGTAAGTAGGTGGAGCAGAGACCTACCAGACGTGTATATGTTGTTACTACGCCAGATTAGTGTATCACATTTATTTATTTCATCTACATTCGCACCAATTTTGGGGTTAGAGATGGCATAATTAGTGTCTCCGCTCAGAGTAGAGTCTCCAGTTGGGGGTAAGGTTGACTTAGACCGGGGATGTCGTGGTTGTGAGATAGAGGTTGTCGGGTGCCGACTTCCTTTTGCATTTGTGTTATTAGACATGTCAGACTTTGATGCCATTTTAGGTATGGATTGGTTGTCTTCATATCATGATGTTATTGATTGTTACCGTCAGAGAGTTACGGTGTGCACCTGGGGTGGTGACTGTTTTTATTTTCTGGGGAACCAAGCTGATAGAGTCTTATCACCAGTTTATGACCCTCATGGTAAGGGCAAACTTAATTGTCTTCTTGCAACTCTCTTAGGTAGTGAGAGTGATGTGGTCTGAGTTGAATTGTTGAGAGTAGTTTGTGAATACTCGTATATTTTTTCCAAGGATCTTACTAGTTTGCCACCCTACTGGGTGATTGAGTTCTCCAATTTCTATGGCACTGTATAGATTTGCACCCGCTGAATTGTATGAGTTGAAGATTCAACTCCAAGAGCTATTAGATAAGGGCTTCTTTCTCCCTAGTACATTGCCTTAGGGAGCAACAACTCTCTTCGCTAAGAAGAAGGATGGCACCTTGCGACTGTATATTGATTACCGAAAACTAAATCGGGCAACTGTTAAGAACAAGTATCCGTTACCTCATATAGATGATTTGTTTGACCAGTTGATGGGGTCTTGTTGATTTTCCAAGATTGATTTGAGATCGGGTTATCATCAGCTAAGGGTGAAGGAGAAGGATATTTAGAAAATGATATTCCATACGCAGTATGGCCACTACGAGTTCTTAGTGATGCCTTTTGGGCTTACCAATGCATTGGCTTTGTTTATATATTTGATGAACCAAATCTTTTGTGAGTTTTTAGACCATTTTGTAGTTGTCTTTGTTGAGGACATCTTGATCTACTCACTCTATGAGGAGGAACACGAGGAACATTTGTGAGTTGTACTTGAGTTGCTCAGAGCCTACTATTTGTATGCTAAGTTTGGGAAGTGCGAATTTTGATAGAAATAAGTTAAGTTCTTAGGCCATGTGGTATACAGGGAAGGAGTGACCATAGACTCTTTTATGATAGAGGCAGTACAAGATTGGGAACAACTTAAGAATGCCTTTGAGATCCAGAGTTTCTTGGGTTTATCCGGGTATTACCGACGTTTTGTGAAGGACGTCTCTAGATTGGCCTCACCATTGACTAGATTGACGAGAAAAGGGGTTAAGTTTGTGTGGAGTGAGACTTTTGAAAATCCGCATATATATATATATATATATATACGAATAAAGAAAGAGTGACCTGTTGGATGAGATCGCGCTGGGTGAGAGAATCAAAAGTTAAGACGAGAAAGTAAGCACCCAACATTACGATCGCCGTTGCCCTGGCATCATGCAAAATTGCACCGCTGTTTCCGGCGGTGAGAGAGACGGCAGCGGGGTGGAATCTGGACGGCACGCGGAGGCTTCTGAGGACAACTGAGGACCACCACCGGAGGACACCATTGCTGCCACCAGTGGCCCAAACTCGCCTCCCTGTGTGGAGAGTAGTAGTGATAGGATGAGGAGGAGGAGGAGGAGGAGGAGGAGGAGAGAGAAGATAGGGCTTGTGAGGGCATATGTGGTGTCGAAGAAGAGAGAGTGAGGACTGTTTAAAGGACACAGTAGTGGTGGCGGCGGCGGCTATCCACGCCGGGTTCGTGATAGCAACTGTTCCCATCTCTAGAAACCCCTCTTTCTCTCTTTAAAAACTCTCCCTCAGCTATGTCTGTTTTCGGGTAGTGAATCTATATGGCCACTGTTTTGCGCTTTTTTACTGCCACTTTTGTCGGACAACATTTTAATGATGGTTACTATTAGCATCTATTTAATTTTTTTAAAGGTCTTTTATTTTTTTGAATTTCCATCTTAAATCTTAAATTTTAAATAGATTTTTTTAAAATACTCCACTTAGTATCAATTTTACATATATTTATAATATCTTCACATTCAAGTAAATACATATTTAATTTTGGGTTTTTTATTGACAAATCCCATTTAGAGGTGGTTACTATTAGCATCTATTTAATTTTTTTTAAGGTCTTTTATTTTTTTGAATTTCCATCTTAAATCTTAAATTTTCAATAGATTTTTTTAAAATACTCCACTTAGTATCAATTTTACATATATTTATAATATCTTCACATTCAAGTAAATACATATTTAATTTTGGGTTTTTTATTGACAAATCCCATTTAGAGGTGTTCTAACCCAATAAGTCCACCAAGGAAAATTATAACCTAATTAGTCTTATGTATTTATACTTTTATTCCATAAGGTCCTTTTTTTTCCTTATTTATATTATTTGTTGGGCTATTATATCCTTATGTCTATTGTTGATATGTATTACATAAAAAAAGATATACACATTTCATATATATATATATATATAATTTCACAGCACAACACACACCAACTCCATCATCTTAAATTGCTTCAGAGAACTTCACAGCACACCAACTCCATAAATGGAGCAACAATTTCGTGCCAAATTCGAGCAAATTCTCAACCAACCCATAACTGCCTCCACTTCTCTACAAGCTCTATCTCTCGCTCGATCTCTCCTCAATCCTTCCACCTTCGACTTCACCATCTCTTCTCTCCTCCAAACCCTATCTCTCTTTCTCTCCCCAACCAGACTGCGACCCTCTCTCTTTTCGCCACACACTCTCTCTGTCTCTCTCCCCCTCTCTCCTCTCCGATCTCATTGCCCACCACTGCCACCTCTCTTACTCCATCTTCCACACTATCCGCTCGTTCTCTCTCCTCTGCAATCCCACCTCAACTCGCACCCTCGCCGAAATCATGATAATATATAGATAGTGTATATATTGTCACTGTGTTCATTATCACTATGCAATTGTGATGTTAAAATTCATGTCAAACTGTTCTATTCAGTCATCCACAATGTTTATTTGGCACAAAAATGATGTGATATTCACAATGTAACAAATAGATGTGAAGATTCATATTAATTCTAGTATATTTGTGGATGGATCATACACTTTATTTATGTACAATGTGAATATTTACATATGTAATCAACTATAATAAACATAGGACATAATGTGATTGAAAATGGGCCTTAACATAATTACGATGTGAACATTGACACCAACTTCAATATAAGAGACAAGATATGGATGTTCACACTTCATATTGTTTAGAACACTGTTTGGTCAACTGTCATTGTATGTAGTTAATATTTTTTTTTGATATATTTGTGGATGAATCATACACCTTACATATGTAAAATGTAAATATTAACATCTGTAATCGATCACAGTAAACATAAGACATATTTTAAACATTCAAATTAATTGAAAATGAGCCTTAATATGAATTATGATGTCATTCACACCAATTTCTAATATGTTTGTTCATGGGTCGTACACCTAATTAATGTATAATTTGAATATTAACATCTCTAGTCAAGTATGATGTGAATATTTACAATGCAATAAAAATGTAAAAATTTGCATTAATTCTAATATATTTGTGCATAGATCATACACCTAATTAATGTATAATGTGAATATTAACATCTGTAGTCAACCACAATAAACATATGATATAATTTGAACATTCATATTTATTGAACATAAATTATGATGTGAACATTCACACAAACTTCAACATAAGAAAACAGATGTGAATATTCACAGTTTATATTGTTTAGCACACGCAACACATTAACACCAAATATACCATCAAAACACATAGGTCTGTGAGAAGTATATCATTGATTTATATATATGTTGTCAAGTGTTTTCAACTACAAGTTATCAAAATTATCCAAAAGAAAAAAAAAAAAAACTAGCACTGTATTTTGGTATAGCTAGTGTATGGTGGACAACCCCAACTATCGAACAATGGAGTTTGCCTCAAATAGTCCAACTGAGGATCTCAAAACTTGGTGCTTGTCATCAGTTTTTGATTGATAATTGACATGCCGCATGTCGATGTAGGTGTTGCTCTCTAGAGGCATGCTTTTTCTTTGGCATTATACTTCTCTCTCTTCCTCTTTGTGCAAAATTTAGATGCAACATCTGTTACATAGGCATACACAAATAGTGAGTGTTTATATGAATATTAAATTTGATTTTAATAGAATTGGTAGGGTAGGCATGCACATTGACATCAACACATCATTAGTCAGTGTGGATGTTCACATTCAACGATATTTATATAAGCAAAAGCAACAAAGTACTATTTAGGTAACAAACATAATAATGTGAACATTCACATCATTAGAGATATGAATATTCATATTACTGCTAGGGTACAAATAGGAGTGGTCACACCGAATATTAATATTTACACATCCATATAATATTAGGTATGTCTATGTGTATAGAAGGGAATGTTAAACTTCACATCAACATTTGGTTACAACAATTCACAATAAGACAATGATTATATGTACACATTTATAAGAAAATAACACTAATGTGAATATTCATAGTGGCTATAAACAACCAAACAACATGACAACATCACCCATTCATTAACCACAAACCACATAGTTTCAGTGTACACATGTGATGTGAATATTAAGTGGACAAATATGAACAACATTAGTGTTTACAATGTCAAGGTTCATATCAAAATTGAACTACAACTAGAAGAAATGTTTTTATTTGGGGATTTGCTTGACACAATGTTCACAATTATATAACAAATTTATTCAGGACATGGTCCCTATGTGAATATTGACATCATGTGAACAACAACAACAGTATCCGAAACAACGACAATTTTCTATTTTCTAGGACAAGCAACAAATTTGGGAGTTCACATCATTTCAACAACACCAACAACAACAAAAAGAGGAAAAATAACAGCAACGACATGAACAACAAGGACCAAAAATAACAATGGCAACAAGAGAGAAAGTTTGCATTGGGACAAAAAAAATGTAATTTGATTACACAAAAAAGGTGATTACATTTGGTTCCCAAGTCGAGTTGATACACTTTGATTGATGCGAATGTTCACAAAGTGAAATACAATTTCAAACATGGAATAACATAAGTGATAAACACAATGATGAATGTTCACAAAATGACTAATCAATTTACACATGTTATAAATGTTCACAACATAATTATATATACCAACATCATCTGACACAAGCAAGTTGGACCATGATTCTTTGTTTTCATATGAATGTTCACTACTGTTAACAACAACAATATTATGGGCAAGAACAGTAACAATATGAAATTACACACGTTGTATGAATAGACATAAGGGATATGTGTGGAAATTCATATTGGTGCAATTTGAATAGGACATTCACATAATCAAACAATACAATAACAACAAGAACATCTACAACAATTGGCTTGGCCCAACATATTGACTTCCTTGTGCATGCCCACTACTGTTAACAACAATAGTAGTAGGGGTAACAACAGTAAATATATGAAGTTCACACATTGAATGAATAAAAACAGGGGCTATCGTGGAAGTTTATATTGATGCAATTTCAATAGGACATTTACATGATTAAAACATACAACAACAACAACAATAACAATATCTAAAACATTGGCTTGGGCCAACATATTGACTTCCCTATGAATGTCCACTACTGTTAACAACAATAATAGTAAGGGCAATAACAATTATAATATAAAGTTCACACATTAAATGAATAAAACCATATACTATGAAGCTCACTACTGTGGAAGTTCATATTGATGAAATGTGTATAGGAGATTCACATGATTAAAACATACAACAACAAGAACAAGAACAACAACATCTGAAACAATTGGCTTGGCCCAACATTTTTCATTCCTATGTGAATGTTCACAGCTTTTGACAACATAATGTAATTGCCACTGCATTATTTTTGGGTGAACAAAACCATATACTTAGGGATTGGGATTGAGGGGTTCACATTCACGATTAGGGCATAATATGAAGTTCCACACATTGTATGAATAGAAACAGGGGATATTGGAAGTTCACAATCGTGTAATTTGAACAAGAGATTTAGGGTTTACATATAAAATTGGTGAGATTACTTACTCTTTTTGCCCATATCGACAGTTGGGTTGTCACAAATGTTTGTCGATGGTGATCTTGACGAAGATGGAACTTTAAGATGTTCACCAATGGTGATTTCTACGTTTTCGTAGATGGATGGTGGAGGTATCATGAAGCCGACGACGAGACATTGCGACGATGGGACAATAAGAGATGTGTGGGTGTGAGACGATATGGAATACGATTTTGGATTTTCGGAAGGGTGGAAATATAGTGCGCGATTTTCTGCAAAAAGAGAGAGAAAGAGGGATAATTATTTGATTCAAAAAGAGAGAGGAAGAGGAGAAGGGTATTTTGGTCTTCTAATATGAAATATGACCTAATGGAATAGTAGAAAACACTATGGGGTTTATGGAATAGTATTCTTAGAGAGTGAATTTACTAAAAAAGCTCCCTTTAATTTTGCTTATCATCTCTTATTTTTTTCTCAATAAATGATAAACGATTAAGAGATGATTGAAAACAATAAATGATTGAGTGATGAATCGACTGTCCCTCTTTTTTCTCACTACAAGAATTTACACATTTTGCGACCACTTTTGCCGACCAAAAAAATTTTAGTCGCAAAAAAATGACATTTGGCGACCAAATATTAAAAAAATGACATTTGGCGACCAAATATTAATTAGTCGCGAATGATCATTATTTTTGGCAACCAAATATTATTGGTCGTAGAAGGTTATATCTTGGCGACCAAAAAATGAGTTGGTCGCAGAAAGTGGTATACTTTTGCCGACCAACTACAAATTTGGTCGCAGAAGGTCACATATTTTTTGGCGACCAAAAATTTGGTTGCCAAAAACTTATTTTCAGCAACCAAAAAAAATTAGTCGCCAAATTAGTACTTTTAGCGACTAATATTTTAGTCGCCGTTGATTGAGATTTGGTGACTAAAAAAGTTTGTCGGCGAAGGTACCTTTTCTGCGACTAAAATGGTCTTTTGGTTGCCAAAAGTTTGGGAAGGAAATTTGATTTTTAGTGGGGCGGGAATTGAAATTTTTTGGCGACAAATAAATTTGGTCGCTAATTTTAAAACTACGTTGTTTTGTACCATGAAATCAGAAAAAAAAAAAAAATCAAATCAAATCAGTGCCCTCTCTCTTTGTTTCTCGGTCCGCCCTCTCCCTCTCTGTGTTCTTCCTCTCAATCGGTGCCCACTCTCCGCCTCTAGGACCTCTCCATTGGCATCACTTCTCGCCGCTTCGTCGGCCACTCCAAAGATGTCCTCTCCGTCGCTTTCTCCTTCGATAATCGCCAAATCGTCTCTGCTTCCTGAGACCGCTCGATCAAGCTGTGGAACACTTTGGGTGAGTGTAAGTACACGATTCAGGATGGTGATGCTCATTTTGATTGGGTCAGTTGTGTTCGATTTAGCCCTAATAATCTTCAGCCTACGATTGTGTCTTCGTCTTGGGATCAGACTGTGAAGATTTGGAATTTGACCAATTGTAAGATTAGGGCTTCGCTTGCTGGGCATTCTGGGTATGTGAATACGGTGGCCGTGTCACCCGATGGGTCGCTGTGTGCGAGTGGTGGGAAAGATGGCGTTATTTTGTTGTGGGATCTGGCTGAGGGAAAGAAGCTTTACTTGCTCGATTCGGGTTCGATTATTACATGGCTGTGCTTTAGCCCTAATAGGTACTGGCTCTGTGCTGCTACTGAGGCGAGCATTAGGATTTGGGATTTGGAGAGCAAGACCATTGTTGTGGATCTCAAGGTTGATGCCAAGTAGGAGGCTGAAATGAACCGTGTCGTCTGGTGTTAAAAACAAGGTTTAGTATCGTTAATTTAGTATATATGGATTTTGGGTTTTTATTGCTTTTGTGTTTCTTGATATATCTTGCCATTTAAATGTTTTTTTTTATGTGTTTGTGTCGTAGATAGTTGATGAATACATATAGGGCCTGTTTGATTAAGAGGATTAATAGTAAGTGGATTAACAATCATGAGATTAGTGTATGTCACAGATGTTGAATAAATTCAAGGTCAGGGAACTATACATTGTTTGCTCAATTGACATTGATGAGGAATCATTGTACACCCAAGTCTTAAAGTTTTGGGATGTATTGCCATTGGAGGAATTTTCAAAATTGGTTAAACGTTTGGATGGCATAATTGGGATGTACACAGATGATTATCTCAACCGTTGCAAGGTCAAATGCCATGATGGGTAAGTAAATTCTCGTGTACCCTCCCTAGTGTATCTAAATCTTTTTTTGTGTTGACTTCTAAATTTTTAAAGTTTAAATTACCAACCTATGGAACATAATTAAGGTCATGCTCTACAAAATGGATATCAATTTTGTCTTTCTAATATTCTATCATTGTCGTCGTAATTGCTATCATCTTTCTTTCTTTCCTTTTTTTTTTTTGAGTTTAGGGATTTCAAAGTTCCTATGACATGGTCACTCTCTTCTGGTCTTATTCAATATAAGAATCTCAGTGAGACCGAAAATGGGAAAGCTTTAATAAATGATGCCTCTTTGATTGGCAAAGGCTATGTTGAGGATGCAAAGGTGAGTGAGAGTTTGTTACTGATGAAATTCTACTCGTTGTCAATTGGGGCGGTCAGCCACCTACTATCTGGCTGCAATGGTAAAGAATTGAGTCTTCCTTTCGAATTAACAAACCAAGAGACAGAGATAATTCATTTCAACAGAAGCACCTTTATACTTGGAAGGTCAGGCACTGTGAAGACCACTGTTTTGACCATGAAATTATTTCAGAATGAGCAACTGTATCATTTAGCATCTGAGGGTTATTATCAAGTTCAGAGTAATCTATCCACTGATGATAGCTGGAGGCACCAGGAGGATAGTAGTGAGACTAATCAGATTCAGGAGGCTAAAAGAGATATCTTGCACCAAATTTTTGTCACAGTGAGTCCAAAATTGTGCTTTGCTGTAAAACAACATGTTTCTCAGTTGAAAAGGTACTGCTGGTTGGTTCTATTTTTGTTGTTTTAGGGCTAGATGTATTTATTATCATTGTGTTCAATTCTTTTTATTTTTTATTTTTTTATAGCTGAAGTTTTCTGTGTAAATGGCTCTGATAGTACATGTGAAATGGAATACATATATGTACATTATTCTAAGTCAACTAAACAAATTTTCTTTATGGCTTTCTAAAACGTCCTAGTTTTCTTACTTTAATTTAGCAGTATGCTATATTTCAGATTTTCAAAACATATAAATAAATGTTTCTCAAGGAATTTTGAAAATTTGCATTAATTTAGGAGGTGTTTGGCATGTGCTAAAATAGCACATGCCATTTTAGCACACTATCCTATTTGGCCACAATCATCTTATTTGGGGGTCACATCACTTCTCTACCACATCATTTCAAACCCAACCCATATTTCACGTTTTTTTCCAAAAAGTCAAATTGTATACTTATTTAGATCATCCCAAATACCCTCTTAATATTGTTGTTTTTTTCATTTGCAAAGGAGCCTTGAACATGTAGCTTGCAGTTTATGATATTAGGTCTGTCCACGCAAGTGCACTGAACAAAACTTACTTGTTGCTTAAAGTTCCAGTAGTTAGCTTGCTTTTGACCCTCTAATTATTGCAACTGTTATCATTTAAACCATAATCTATTCTAGATGCTGATAGTCTACCTCCCATGTGGCTATCTTTAAATCTAGGGCCTTGTCTTTAGCTTGAGCAAAACATACCATATCCCCTCGCAAATTATATGAATTAAAATAAACAGCTTACTCAAGGATCCAAACTGTTGTATTACAACTAGACCAGCATGGATGGAATAAAAGATATTGAAGTAGGAGAATGCAGGTTGAAGTCTGAGGGCATGAAATTTGTGTCAATAATTCTGAAAACTAATTCTATAACCATTCTAGCCCTCCCAACACCCTCAATTATTGAGAGTCAAAACTTAATGATGTCCTTTTTCTAATGGATTCTTGAGCCAGTGAAATGATTAAGAACTAGACGTGTGAAGAAAATTAAGGTACTCCACCTAACTTTTGCAAACAGACCAGAAGAAAAATGAGAAGAAAAATATTCACAAAATGTTGAAATTTACCATATTTGAGATGGCACGATAAAATGCACGCAAAATGCAAGTAGAGTGCACAAAACTGCGCGATGAGTTGCGCAAGATGGCGCGATAAAATGTTTGCAAAATGCAAGTAGAGTGCACAAAACTGCGCGATGAGTTGCGCAAGATGGCGCGATAAAATGTTTGCAAAATGCAAGTAGAGTGCACAAAACTGCGCGATGAGTTGCGCAAGATGGCGCGATAAAATGTTTGCAAAATGCAAGTAGAGTGCACAAAACTGCGCAATGAGGTGCGCTTGATAGCGCGATAAAATGCATGCAAAATGCAAGTAGTGTGCACAAAACTGTGCAATGAGGTGCGCATGATGGTGCGATAAAATGCATGCAAAACGCAAGTAGAGTGCACAAAACTGCGCAATGAGGTGCGCAAGATAGCGCGATAAAATGCGTGCAAAATGCAAGTAGTGAGCACAAAACGGCGCAATGACGTGCGCAAGATGGCGCGATAAAATGCCTACAAAATCCATGTAGAGTGCACAAAACTGCGCAATGAGGTGCGCAAGATCGCGCGATAAAATTCATGCGAAACGCAAGTAGAGTGCACAGAACTGCGCAATGAGGTGCGCAAGATGGCGCGATAAAATGCATCCAAAATGCAAGTAGTGTGCACAAAACTGCGCATTGAGGTTCGCTAGATGGCGCTATAAAATGCATGCAAAACGCAAGTAGAGTGCACAAAACTGCGCAATGAGGTGCGCATAATAGCGGGATAAAATGCGTGCAAAATGCAAGTAGTGTGCACAAAACTGCGCATGATGGCGCGATAAAATGTCTGCAAAATCCAAGTAGAGTGCACAAAACTGCGCAATGAGGTGCGCAAGATCGCGCGATAAAATGCCTGCAAAATCCAACTAGTGTGCAAAGAACTGCGCAATGAGGTGCGCAAGATGGCGCGATAAAATGCATGCAAAATGCAAGTAGTGTGCACAAAACTGCGCAATGAGGTGCGGAAGATAGCGCGATAAAATGCGTGCAAAATGCAAGTAGTGTGCACAAAACTGCGCAATGAGGTGCGCAAGATAGCGCGATAATGTGCGTGCATAATGCAAGTATTGTGCACAAAACTGCGCAATGAGGTGCGCAAGATAGCGCGATAAAATGCATGCACAACGCAAGTAGAGTGCACAAAACTGCACAATGAGGTGCGCAAGTTTGCGCGATAAATTGCATGCAAAATACAAGTAGAGTGCACAAAACTGCGCAATGAGGTACGCAAGATGGCGCGATAAAATGCATGCAAAATACAACTAGTGTCCACAGAACTGCGCAATGAGGTGCGCAAGATAGCGCGATAAAATGCATGCAAAATGCAACTAGTGTGCACAGAACTGCGCAATGAGGTGCGCAAGATGGCGCAATAAAATGCATGCAAATTGCAAGTAGAGTGCACAAAACTGCGCAATGAGGTGCGCAGGATCGCGAGATAAAATGCATGCAAAATGCAACTAGTGTGCACAAAACTGCGCAATGAGGTGCGCAAGATGGCGCGATAAAATGCATGCAAAATGCAAGCAGAGTGCACTAAACTGCACAATGAGTTCCGCAAGATAGCGCGATAAAATGCATGCAAAATGCAACTAGTGTGCACAGAACTGCGCAATGAGGTGCGCAAGATGGCGTGATAAAATGCATACAAAATGCAAGTAGTGTGCACAAAACTGCGCAATGACGTGTACAAGATGCCGCGATAAAATGCATGCAAAATGCAAGTAGTGTGCACAAAACTGCACAATGAGTTGCGCAAGATGGCACGATAAAATGCACGCAAAATGCAAGTAGAGTGCAAAAAACTGCGCGATGAGTTGCGCAAGATAGCGCGATAAAATGCAGGTAAAATGCATCTAGTGTGCACAGAACTGCGCAATGAGGTGCGCAAGATGGCGCGATAAAATGCATGCAAATTGCAAGTAGTGTGCACAAAACTGCGCAATGAGGTGCGCAAGATAGCGCGATAAAATGTTTGCAAAATGCAAGTAGAGTGCACAAAACTGCGTAATGAGGTGCGCATGATAGCGCGATAAAATGCATGCAAAATGCAAGTAGTGTGCACAAAACTGCGCAATGAGATGCGCAAGATGGCGCGATAAAATGCCTGCAAAATCCAAGTAGAGTGCACAAAACTGCGCAATGAGGTGCGCAAGATAGGGCGTTAAAATGCATGCAAAATGCAACTAGTGTGCACAGAACTGCGCAATGAGGTGCGCAAGATGGCGCGATAAAATGCATGCAAAATGCAAGTAGTGTGCACAAAACTGCGCAATGAGGTGCGCAAGATGGCGCGATAAAATTCTTGCAAAATGCAAGTGGAGTGCGCAGCGCAATGAGGTACGCAAGACAGCGCGATAAAATGCACGCAAAACGCAAGTAGGGTGCACAAAATTGCGCAATAAGGTGCGCAAGATCACGCGATAAAATGCATGCAAAATGCAAGTAGTGTGCACAAAACTGTGCAATGAGGTGCGCAAGATAGCACGATAAAATGCGTGCAAAATGCAAGTAGAGTGCACGAAACTGCGCAACGAGGTTCGCAAGATAGCGCGATAAAATGCATGCAAAATGAAACTAGTGTCCACAGAACTGCGCAATGAGGTGCGCAAGATGGCGCGATAAAATGCATGCAAATTGCAAGGAGTGTGCACAAAACTGCACAATGAGGTGCGCAAGATGGCGCGATAAAATGCATGCAAAACGCAAGTGGAGTGCATAAAACTGCGCAATGAGGTGCGCAAGATCGCGCGAAAAAATGCATGCAAAATGCAACTAGCGTGCACAAAACTGCGCAATAAGGTGCGCAAGATGGCGCGATAAAATGCATGCAAAATGCAAGTTGTGTGTACAAAACTGCGCAATGAGGTGCGCAAGATGGCGCGATAAAATGGACGCAAAATGCAGGTAGTGTGCACAAAACTGCGCAATGAGGTGCGCAAGATAGCGCGATAAAATGCGTGCAAAATGCAAGTAGAGTGCACACAGCTGCGCAATGAGGTGCGCAAGATAGCGCAATAAAATGCATGCAAAATGCAAGTAGTGTGCACAAAACTGCGCAATGAGGTGCGCAAGATGGCGCGATAAAATGCCTGTAAAATGCAAGTAGAGAGCACAAAACTGCGCAATGAGGTGCGCAAGATAGCGGGATAAAATGCTTGCAAAATGCAACAAGTGTGCACAGAACTGCGCAATGTGGTGCGCAAGATGGCGCGATAAAATGCATGCAAAATGCAAGTAGTGTGCACAAAACTGCGCAATGTGGTGCGCAAGATGGCGCGATGAAATGCATGCAAAACGGAAGTAGAGTGCACAAAACTGGGCAATGAGGTGCGCAAGATTGTGCGATAAAATGCATGCAAAATGCAACTAGCGTGCACAAAACTGCGCAATGAGGTGCGCAAGATGGCGCGATAAAATACATGCAAAATGCAAGTAGTTTGCACAAAACTGCGCAATGAGGTGCGCAAGATAGCGCGATAAAGTGCGTGCAAAATGCAAGTAGGGTGCACAAAACTGCGCAATGATGTGCGCAAGATAGCGCGATAAAATGCATGCAAAATGTAACTAGTGTGCACAGAACTGCGCAATGAGGTGCTCAAGATGGCGCGATAAAATGCATGCAAAACCCAAGTAGAGTGCAGAAAATTGCGCAATGAGGTGCGCAAGATAGCGCGATAAAATGCATGCAAAATGCAAGTAGAATGCGCAGCGCAATGAGGTGCGCAAGATAGCGTGATAAAATGCATGCAAAACGCAAGTAGAGTGCACAAAATTGTGCAAGATCGCGCGATAAAATGCATGCAAAATGCAAGTAGAATGCGCAGCGCAATGAGGTGCGCAAGATAGCGTGATAAAATGCATGCAAAACGCAAGTAGAGTGCACAAAATTGTGCAAGATCGCGCGATAAAATGCATGCAAAATGCAAGTAGAATGCGCAGCGCAATGAGGTGCGCAAGATAGCGTGATAAAATGCATGCAAAACGCAAGTAGAGTGCACAAAATTGTGCAAGATCGCGCGATAAAATGCATGCAAAATGCAAGTAGAATGCGCAGCGCAATGAGGTGCGCAAGATAGCGCGATAAAATGCATGCAAAATGCAAGTAGAATGCGCAGCGCAATGAGGTGCGCAAGATAGCGCGATAAAATGCATGCAAAATGCAAGTAGTGTGCACAAAACCAAC